GTTCTTTGGCTAACAGCTATTGCAGGTCGAGCTGGGCGCACACCTCGGTTTCCGTGTCATTGGTCTGATCGTTATTCCGATGATCGTTTACATGTTCTCTTTCTGGCTTCACTTCCTTATCCTGGAGAACAGCGGTCCGGGTGATGCGCAGATGAGCTCTCTCTTTCAGGCAAACCTCAAGGGCACCGAGGTCGGCAAGGACAGCCCGCTGGAGGTCGCCTACGGCTCTCGCGCGACACTCAAGAACATGGGATACGGCGGAGGACTACTCCACTCGCACGTCCAGACCTTCCCAGAGGGATCCCAACAGCAGCAAATCACCTGCTACCACCACAAGGATGCGAACAATGACTGGTTTTTCTACCCTAACAGGCACGAGCCAGAGTTCGACAACGATGCGCCGCTCAAGTACCCGGGTCACGGCGAGACTATCAGGCTCATCCACGCCCAGACTGGCCGCAACCTGCACTCTCATCAAATTGCTGCCCCAGTCACAAAGGCAGATTACGAGGTTTCTTGCTACGGCAACACCACTGTTGGCGACACCAAGGACCACTGGATCATCGAGGTCGTCGATGACGCTGCCTCAAGAGATCACTCTAAGATCCGCACCCTTACTACATCCTTCAGACTAAAGCACGCCGACTTGGGCTGCTACCTTCGTGCGGGCAACGTTAACCTGCCGCAGTGGGGTTTCAAGCAGATCGAGACCACCTGTGTCAAGGAGAACAAGCCTCGCGATGTCTACACCCACTGGAATGTCGAGTCGCACTCTAACGAGAAGCGTAAGTGATTTCACCATGTTGTAGCATATTGGTTCATAACCGTCCACTAACACGTCAGCAGTTCCTCCTGGAGACCCAGGCTCTTACAAGTCTCCATTCTGGCGTGACTTCATCCACCTCAACGTCGCCATGATGACGTCCAACAACGCTCTGGTCCCAGACCCAGACAAGCAGGACGACCTTGCCTCCAAGCCATGGCAGTGGCCACTTCTGAACGTCGGCCTCCGCATGTGCGGCTGGGATGACAACATTGTGAAGTACTTCCTCCTCGGTAACCCACTCGTCTACTGGGGTTCTACCGCTTCCCTCGGCATCTTCGGTCTCCTCGTGGCCTGGTACGCCATCCGCTGGCAGCGTGGCTACGATGAGCTGACCCAGAACGACATTGATCACATCCACTATGCCGGTATCTACCCGGTCATTGGTTGGTTCCTGCACTACCTGCCTTTCGTGGCTATGGCACGTGTCACCTACGTCCATCACTACTACCCCGCGCTGTATTTCGCCATCTTGTGTGCGGGATTCTGTGTTGATTGGACAACGAGGACTCTGAACAAGAAGCTTCAGTGGTCTGTCTATGTCGTGCTGTATGCTGTTGTTATCGGCCTCTTCGTTCTGTTCAAGGATATCTGCTTCGGTATGGTTGGCAACCACAGCCAGTGGAAGCATTTGAAGTGGTTGGAGAGCTGGAAGATGACCGATTAGATTGGTCGTCATCCAGAGATGTGGTGAAGACAACAGACTTTCCCTTTAAGTGAGGGTGACGAGGAGAGGGTTAAGTTGGGAATGCATGTGGACGGCAAAAAGGGGCGGCGGCATTGGCGCTTTCGGCTCTGTTGGAAGGGAAGACGATATAAGGATATAGGACTTCTTCTTAACTTTTTATAGCGCTTTTGTCTTGTATTATTTGACCAAGCCTTTACTCTACTTCCTATCACCGTGAGTCATCGCCTGGCGTGAACACGGTACTAGCAACGGCAGACCCAAGCTCTTTGTAACACATTTGCCCAGTAAACAAAAGGTCACGCAGGGGAGGCTTAGTGAGAGCGATTTGGCGGCGAAGATGAGGACTTTTGACAGGCTATGTAAATGAGGAGTATGGGTATTCAACTTTTCATCCAGTAAAGGGCAGAGATCTTCGGCGCATGCATGCAATCATAAAGATATTTACACCTCCAGCTTGGTGGAAGTATTAGGCTCTGGCTGCTTCTCAGCGTTGGCAGGCTCACCGTCAGCGCTTGGCTTGGTCGCAGAAGCAGCGAAAGACTGCTCGAAGTCGGCAATGATGTCGTCGATGTGCTCAGTACCGACGGAGATACGGATGAGGTCCTCGGTCACACCACTGCCAATGCGCTCCTCCTCAGTCAGCTGCTCGTGGGTGGTGGTCCATGGGTGGATAGCTAGGGTCTTTGAGTCACCAACGTTGGCAAGGTTGGAGATGAGCTTGAAGTTGTCCACGACTTGGCTGCCAGCGGCCGCACCGCCTTTGACACCGAAGCTGAGTACACCACCAAAACCCCTTGGGAGGTACTTCTTGGCCAGCTCGTGGCTCTGGTGACTCTCCAGACCCGGATAGCTGACCCAGGCGACGTTCTTGTTGGCCTCGAGCCACTTGGCGAGCTTCAACGCGTTCTGGGCGTGTCTCTCGCAACGCAAGCTCAGCGTCTCCACACCGAGCAACAGCTGCTGTGCAGCGAATGGGTTCAAAGCGGTTCCGAGATCCCTCAGAATCTCAACACGCACTCTGATGGCATAGGCAATCTTGCCGAAAGTGTCCCAGAACTTCAGGCCGTGGTAGCCGTCTGATGGCTCGCTCATCTGTGGGAACCTCTTGCGTGCCTCTGGGGTGCCCCAGTTGAAGTTGCCAGAGTCGATGACCACGCCACCAATGGTAGTTCCATGACCACCAATCCACTTGGTCGCGCTGTGCACGACAATGTCGACACCGTGGTCGATGGGCCTGCAGAAGTAACCGCCGGCACCAAAGGTATTGTCGGCAATGACTGGCACACCAGCCTCATGGGCGACCTTCACGATAGCCCCGAAGTCTGGGACATTGTACCTTGGGTTACCGATGGTCTCAATGTAGATGGCCTTGGTCTTGTCGTCGATGGCGGCCCTGAAGTCCTCTGGCTTGTCACCCTGCACAAACTTAGTCTGCACACCCAAGCGTGGGAAGAAGACCTTGAGCTGGTTGTAGGTGCCTCCGTAGAGGTTGGAAGTGGCGACAATGTTGTCACCGGCGTGGGCGAGAGCGGCAATGGCCATGAATTGGGCGGCTTGACCAGACGAGGCGGCCACAGCGGCAACACCACCTTCGAGAGCAGCAAGACGCTTCTCAAGAACATCAACAGTTGGGTTCATGATACGGCTGTAGATGTTGCCGAACTCCTTGAGCCCGAAAAGCCTCGCACCGTGGGCAGAGTCATTGAAGACGTAAGACTACAACGCATTTTAAGCTTTTGCTGGCTGTGGTCGATGAGGTCTCTGGTCTACATACTGTGGTAGCATAGATTGGCACAGCCCTGGAGTTGGTAGCAGAATCTGGTTCATGGCCTATATGGGGTTTAATAAGCTGTACTTGAAGACGTTCATGGAATTGGGAGTAAGCGTACCTGCGTGCAGTTGCAGGGTCTCGAACCTCTGAGCAACGTCCTCTCCACTCATCTTGGCGACCTGTTCTCTTAGTTGTTGGAGTCGTGAAATCGCTCTTGGCATACAATTGTCTCGTTTGACGATCTAGAGATGTACAGATGGCGATATGTGGGTATTGGAAGGAGTGGAAAATCGGGCCAGTAAATCTGCCAGAGATAATTATCAGATGCATCTCGTACCCCCGCCTGCCCCGCGCCGCTCATTGCGGTTAAGGATTGCGTGCTCGAACGGCTCACGCGGACGGTCACACCTTCCCAATTCTGGCTGCGCCTTGGCGTCTGTGTACCACCCTAGTGTTCCACCTCTCTCACCAATTGCATGTGCGTAGCATGTCCCTCATACCGTCGTTTTTATTAAAAAATTGCCCCAGTAGATCTTTTCATTGATGAATAATGTGAGAATACCGTACCTCCCATGTCGTGCACATCTTCCAGCTCATGAATGGAAATCCTACCAGCATAAATGAGATCGCCATATAGCGTACATGATCCGGGCTAGGTACTGCGAACCGTGTGGCTGCTTTTTAATTTTCAGGGATGATACACGTACACTCCGAACTAGATTTACATGTATACATGGAGCCCATTGAAATAAGTTCCTAGAGTACCACCTACCGAAGAACTACAGTACAATGCGGTCTCCAGCAAGCGAGCACGTGCCGCCCCGCGTCTACAGTGGTGTCATCCGCCACCCCTCCGCTCTTATCATCAGCGCTCTATAAACCAGTCCAGACGTACCGACTCATTGTCAATGTCTGTCTTGTAATCTGGACTTGACAATTGTCGCTATACGTCCTGCTCGTATCATTCCACGCCTTTAGCCACACTTAAACTAGTCGTCTGTTCCCTGCTCGTTGTCCTTCCGAACATCGTCAGGCCTACCTCCGTGCCAACCTCGCCTTGTCTTGTTCCTAACAATGGACGAACATACCTTTCAAGCCGCTCTCCGCCAGGTGAAAGGTGATCTGACGGTCATGAACTGTCGCTGCCGGCAAATACTCCAACTATATGAGGAGCAACGTCGTAACCAAGCTTCCGCAGAAGACATTAAGACCTCACCTCCTGCCTTGGAACCATCCAGTATCATAAGCCTGCCTAGCGGACCTGTCTTCTGGCAGCTGTTTGAGTCCCTTCGAGATGACATACGAGGGATGGATGTCCGCGTCGAAAGGATGGAGAACCGATTCCAATCACTTGAAGACCGGGTCCGTCATCTGGAGGCTGGCTTGTTCACGCCCACGTTATCGCCTACAAGTGAGACAGACGGCTCCGTTCACGCAATTGACCTCGGAACATCTGAGAAGTGCACCACGGTCGTTCTCCCGCCTGAGACAAGCGATCGACCTGATAATATACGATTACAGTCCCAACCATTAGAAGAATTAACTCCCGTGGGACGGAATCATCGACAAAATCCGTGATGACCTCTCCTACACTGAGTTCATTCAGCTACCGTTAAGCGTACCATACGGCAACTGCAGGACAGACCAGTGGAGGACGGTTCCGGGGAACAGTCACCTCTAACTCATATATATCCGGAGAATCACCGGGCAGCCAAGCTTCTCTCGTGGCGCAATTGGCTAGCGCGTTCGACTGTTATATCCGGTGCACAACCGGGTCGCAGTAGATCGAGAGGTTGGTGGTTCGAGCCCACCCGAGAGAGCACATTTCTTTTTGTGGTTTAGTTGCCTGGAAGATACCATTCCATCTCTTTTGCTACCTGATGCCTTGGGTATCGACTTCCCTTATTTGGTGTTACGGCGCGGACGAAGCGTCGAATGAATCTTCAGGGTCCAGTCCCGGCATGGTGCGATCTTCTCTGATCTTTCCTTCTCGTTCGCATACTTGCTAATGGTCGTTCTTAGGCTGCGCTATAGGCATTTTCCACCTGCTTCACACATGTACATGTATATAGATCAGCCCATGGGCTACATAACGCTTTTCGGAACGATGCCAACCATCTGGCAATTTGACAGATATAGACTCAATGACTAGTCAATTCGAAGCATTTTCATAGGCTAGCGTCCTCCATGGCTCGCTTTATCACTATGTTTGCAAGAACAAGCCCTTCTTTCCGTGCCATAGAGCGTCGCGGTCGACGAGTTCAGCATAAGTACTCTCATCCTCGTCATCATTCCGGCGTGTAAAGCAGGAAACATGCGTCTAACGGGCGCTGTTTGTGCAAGGAAGGCCGTGTTCGACCGCACTAAAGCTGGAAAGTAGATGTATCCTGTTCACGCGCATCGCCACGAAGGCTACGATGGTACGCCGAGTAGCCCGAAGCCTCGTTTTCTGCTGAGCCTCAGAGCTGTCCCTATGCGACATCCCAAGACGCATACAGCAGTCGTGCGTATGACTCAAATCTCGACTTGGCTGACTCCTAGAGCTAGCCTGAACCGAGCTTAGTAACTCCAGGCATTAATTCAGCCCTATGTCAGTACGCATACAGTGGGAGGACAAGACCTAGGCAACAAATTCGTCAGGTGCAACAGTCGAAGATATTGGCTCAGTCCAACTAAAGATGATCCGCTATGTTCGGAGATGCAATCTCGATCTCACACCTCACAGGTTCCTTATTGATCATGGGAAACGTTATCTCAACAACGGATCCCAGTGTTCCATCCAAGTATGGGACGATTTTCGAGTAGGTCCACGTCCTTGTTATTGGTTCGACTAGGACAACTCAAGTGGCGAATCAAGATTTATTAGCCAAGTCCTAAAAAAAAAGCGGCGAGAGCAGCACAAAGTTGTCTTGAAAACTACATGTAGGTTGATGCTTAAGACTTAGCGACTCCCGAACCCTGCTTGGTGACACCTGAGCTGAAATGAAATCTTATTCCACACGAACAATGCGGATGGTCCCAAAACCTTATTGTTCGGTAGGATAAGGACCAAAGCTTTCATAATTTCGATGTTTTCTGTTGGTATGTTGGTTGGCAGAGCTTATTATGCAAACCGAGAGGTACCTTGAAAATCTGTACACCCGCACTTAGCCAAGAAGCTCTGTTGCTGTGTACTTCGACGCTAGCGTGACTTGAGAGCGGAGGAGGCTCACGGGCCTGCCAAGGTTCTGCCTGCCGAGATGCGGCTGTTACTGGGCAACAGATGGCCTGCCACCGATTCTTCATTCTATCTGGAAGGTAAACTGGGTTTAGTTATTTTCAATGACTTTTGCTCGGGCAAGCGCTTCGCGGCAACGCGTCGCTAGAGGAACAACAACGTCTCGATCACACGGATCAGAGTGCGGGCCTTCCTTTCGCGTTCGGTCCTGTCATTGCTCGCCTCTCGGCCTGTGTATACCCACGTTATCTCTGAGGTTTCGCCTGAGTTCATAGAGTAACGATCGCTGGTTAGTGTTTCGCTGACATGGCTAGTTGTTATTAATTGTGTTGTTGTTGTGAAGATTTGCGGTTCCGAAGTCCCGCACGCGGCTGAATCATGACACTTCAGCTCCTGAAGCCGTCTGGCTTTCCTTGCACCGTTATTAGTAGTCGCGAGTCGTCACGTAGAGTAGTGCTAGGATGGAAGGAACGTATCAAACAGAAGGCGAGGGTGGCCGCAGAGACCACTACCTCTGCCAAATGTGGCTTTCGCCTGCGGCGTTCTCCTCCGTAGCCAAGTTCAGGACTGTTCATAACCATCATTTTTGTAAACAACTTTGGAATATACTATGATCCGAAAACTAGAAAATGCCCATCAAAGCGATGATTTCTCGAAGCATCATATAATAAGCTTGCGTATCAGGACTTCCTATACGGGCATTTTTACCTCGCTAGCAAAAAGGAGAAACTGTGAAGAGAACACGCCTCCTCTTAACGACGCACTAAGCTGTTCATTTCACAGGACTTGCAATATTGATTCATAGGTTGCTCAATACGCAGGAGAAACAAAGCTCGTTTCATCAATTTGTTCAGAACTAAAAACTACTGGTACAATCTGTTCAACCACGCCCTGCCACCTTGGGCTCCCTACCCGCCCCCATGAGATCACCAAAACACCTCCTCCTCCTTACCCCCCTCCTCCGCCTTCCCGGCCCTCTTCAACGCCTCCTTCCTCTCCTTCTCCTTCTCCTCCGCCTCTTTCCCCGCCCGGTCCCGCAACGTCCTGATCTGCTGCAGGCGGGATCTCCACGAGCTGGGGTATTCCAACCCCTTGCTCGCCCACACTGCAGCAAAGACACAGGCGTTGAGCGCGAGGTTGCGCACATACTGCGCAAGCACCTCGCCACTCACCACCTTCATTTCACCCGCACTGCTGACCTTGGGGAAGCCAGGCTGCGTGATGACTTGCACCTTGTACCAGCGCTTGTCATACGCAGCCTTGCTGCATCCCAAGGTGCGGGTCTCCACGAAGGTGCTGCGAGCCTCGGGCGTGACCACGATCTGGACGAAGTTGAAGGCGGAGTCGATCGTGCTGAACCCGTATGGCTTGCCGCTGTTGTTGAATATGATGTTCACAAAGTCGTTGCCTATATGGGCCTTCTTGTTTACGCAGTCCGGGTCCAGGACTCTGTCTGTGGGCATCATGGTCACCACATGGTAGATGAGAGCGGTGACAGCGTCCCGGTGACAGATCGTCGTGCGACCGTCACGGAGGTCCGGGGACGTGTCCAAACCCGCCGTGTTACCTGGGTTGCCCTTCAGGTCAAGCGTCTCTCCAAGTCCCGAGAGCAAATGGTTGTAGTCTGGCGAGCCCGAGATATTGCCAAGGATCTGACTCTCAGTCGCCTGGCACTCGCCAACGTACACGACACCGGCCTTGTAGAAGTCGACAGCCGACGTGCGGTCGAACCAACTAAGGTACCTTTTGGAAGCGTCCGTATCCGGAAGAGGCACCGGGCTCCGGCCGTCTGTAAAGGGGCCGTCAATACCGTAGGGGAAACAGATCTTGAACATCTCCTCCGGAGTGCCCCTCTCGAAGCCGAGGAGAGCGAATGGACGCACGTCGGTGCCGGAAGGACGCCTTTCCGTCACTCTTACCCACCGCGAGGGGCCTGAAGAGCACTCTATGGTTAACACACAATAGTCCGAAACCCAGCTCATTGAACGAGAGGGGCCCCTTGGTGGGGCAAGGAGAGGCGTAGAAGGAGGCCCAAAATGGTTCATGCTGCGCTTGGTAGATCGGTAAACGCAGTCCAGCGTTACCAGAGCCTGATCCTCTTTCATGCCCCGTTGATCTGGTGAAAGGAGACGGAAGTCGACAAAGGAGAGGTGGAGTTTCTGATCTTCCGGCTTCAATGTCAAGAACCAGAAGGCGATGACATGATAGGCCAATGCGTAGAGGTAACCGGGTATGTCCATCTTTGGTTTAGGCTGCGTAGAGCCAGATACAGACCCACGAGCTTTTTGTGCATCGTCGAATCGTTTACCACGGACGTAGTCGATGTAGCTGAAGCCAACACCAAAGATAGTCTTGATCTCATCCTCCTTCAAACTGCGAGCCAGGTCCGTGATTCTTGACAGACCAGTCAGGAATTCCAAGACATGAATAGCGGCGTCAGATTTGGTGACAATATTTGCCATCTTTGTGACAATGGTGTATGCGTTCTTCTCAAGGGCCTTCGACAGTTCGTAGCAGCAGATGGTTAGTGCATGGATGCAAGGAAGGGTGGTTTGCTCCCAGGCGGTCATCCCATAGATGAAAGCAACAATCATCTCTTCCTGTTCAGACTTGGTAAAGGCATCGTGATATCCAATAAGCACCGTCAGAATGCCATACAGGCGGACTGCAACGTCGCCTGCCTTCAGGTCCGACCCTTCTGGAGGCCTTTGAAAATTGCCTTTTCTGAGCTGTGAGCACAGTGCGCCCCTAAGCTCTTTGAGCTGATCCTCGGTGCCCTTGAAAAGCGACTGATTGGTTAACTGCGCCGCCACATGGTTGATGTTCAACCAGAATACGTCCCAGTGGCACTTCTGATCTCGGACCATGGACGTGGCAACAAAGCGAAGCCACCAGCGGGCGTTGAGGGATTCTTCGTACGGGGTCGGCGTGAAGATGTTGGGCGTCATTCTAGCTCCGGCTTGCGAGGTCAAGATCCGAGAGCTATTCGTTGGTGGAGATTCTAGGGAGCTAGTCCACCAGTCTTGGAACTCCGGCGAGACTTCCACGAAGATGCGGTACTTTACGTCGCTCCGAAGGCTGACGAGGACCTTTGAGATGTCGACCTTCACTTCTTGAGGGAGTTCGGTGGACTGGAGTAGATCCAACAAGATGTGGTATATGCCAATAGAGCGTCGGGCATCGCCAAGGATATTTGCCAGAAAGATTTTGATCAGCGCAGTACAGAGCAGGGGAACAGGGGGTTGCCAATTAATATCGTCGTTCCCGGCACTCGCATTACTGGGCTGCGGCTTCGTTATTGCCTGAAGCTTTATTTCTTTCACCAATTTTTGAAAGCACTCTTCACGGAAGTCGCCTTCACGTCTGTCAAGGTCAGACGCGTACCTGACAATGAAGTCAATCATCCTTTGCTGTAGCTCCACTGAGCTCTTTCTGCTCAGAGCCCTCGTGACGTATTCTGCACACACCAGCGCCGGACCGGGAGGGTAGTCATCGTATCCAATGTTGCTCTTTTCGTAGATGTACTCAAGCACATCCAGCGCGAGGTGGCGAAGCCTGGGTGTGGTCTTTGAACTGTACAGAAACACAGTGGCCACATCTTTT